AATCAATTTTCTCCAATGGAATGTCAATGGGTATATCTACTACACCCCAGGGCAGGCTTCATGCCCAGCAGTAGTTGGGCAATATACAACAGACTTCATGCTTTGCTTTGCTTTGCATGTGCTTTGTGGTTTGGTTTGGATTTTATCTTACTAGTTTTCTTTTTTAGTTTGTCTGTTTTGATTTCTTTGTTGTTGTTGTTATTTTTCCTGTTTTGTTTTTGTTTGGAGATGGAGACAGCGAGCTCAAGTATGAATCTGGGTACATATGGAGGTGGGAAGAACTGAGCAGAGGTGGGGGAGGAAAAGAATATGATCAAAATTTATTTTATGAAAAAGGTTTTTTTATGATAAAAATTAAAAAAAAAGAAATAACATCCAGCACAGGACTGAGGTGATGGGCCTACTAACAGCACCTTCTTTTCTAGTGCTTTGGAAGACTATTCATGCATCTTCTCTGTCATCATCTAATTCTCTAGCACACATCCCTGAGAATGAATGCAGTGCTCAGCGTGGAACAGTAAGTCTAAACACATGTGAGGGCCAAATGAAGGGATGAAGGATATAATAAGTGTCAAGCTAAGACAATCAATGTTGAAATGGCATAAAATAAAAGGATAAGAGTCCCTGTTCTATGTCTACAATCAAAAGACAGACATATATTTATAAGTCACTCAGTTACCATGTGATGCTACAGAGATACAGAAAGGCGGAGCTAAATGATCAAGAACTAAAAAAAAATTATAGCTGCTTGAGAAATTCAGGGCAGACTTCACAAAGGAAATACAATTTCAATAGGCAGAGAGAGGAGAAAGATGCCTTTTCTTTTCTTTCCTTTTCCTTTTCTGCAGAGGAATCAAATGGACATGATCTATAGGATGTACAAAAGCATGCTGGGAAGCCTTAAATCCCTTTGAACAGAGCTTGTTAAAGAAAAGTGTGTGAGAAAAATTGTTCCAAGTGAGTCAGCCCACTGACTATAATAAAAGTAGCAATCATCAAATTTTCCTAATTTTCTCATAAAAACTGAACTCTAATATGAAATCATAGTTTACAGTCTAACTCTGATACATCTGCCAGTCATTTTACATAGTTGACCTTTGATGACTTCTGACACGAAAGGTAACACATCACTCTATTTCTACTTCTCTTGGGACTAGTAGCCAGTTCGGTTTAATAAAACACATAAAATCTCAAAAGTCAAAATGTGTGGCATTTTCCACCTTGCCAATTCAGTGGTATGTTAGAAGACCAAGAAACCCATAATTGGGTAAACGTAATACACTGGACTCAGAATCTGCCAAACTTTGAATTTAGAGAAACTATTAAAGATGGCTGTGGGATTTGGCTCTATGATTAAGCCATTCCACAGAAGTCTGCATTTCATCTAATCATCAAGTAGGAAACTATAAAAGTCTTACTGGAGGGAAATTTTAAAATTCAGATTGTAATATGCAAGCCTTTTCTTGCTTTTCAATATGTTTCTTCGAAGCAAAACTCTTTAAGGCAGCTTTTAAAATCTACTTTGAAAAAGAAAGCCTAAAGTTCTCTGAATTGAAAATCTAACAGAACAGGATACTTACTGTATCCAGTATTGGGTCCAGGCACATCAGCACTACATATGAATATGTGGACCATTCTGTCTGTCTGTTGTAGGAAGGACCATATTTGGGCAGCCATAACTTTTATAGTCAGTTTTGAAAGTGTTCTTTGAAAAATCTTCAGTTCACCATGTGTGTGTGCACCATAAGAAAATCTCAGAAGTTCTAAATCTCTTCTTTTACACATTTCGTTTCTCTGTGTCTGTATTTGCACACAGGGAGACTTTTCTTCCTTCAAATGAAAACAGTCCTGTCATAGTTTCTGCCTGTAAAAACTTGTTTTATTTTCCCATTCAGCCTTTCTGTGCTTTGCTTATGATACCATAAATTCTGTATGTTACCATTTCTGCCAAAGAAAAGCATTCTTTCACAAGATTCTTCAGGTTTCTCATCATACCAATTAGTCTCTCATCATAGGAATGACAGTCCAATGCTGACCATTCATAGCTAGGAGAGAGTTAATAAAAGCTTTCACATTGCTTCTTATAGCCATTTACAGAGGGCCTCCTACTGTAGATGTATGGAAAACTTTCCACCATAAGAATCTGTGTCTATGGATGAAAAAAAATCAATGAATTCTTCAAAGGAAAGAAATGAGGGAAAGGCCATGTGAGGAGAAAGGAAGTCAGCCCATGTTGTTGATATTCTGCAGTGTAACTGAGAAACATTAAATATCTTAACACTCCAAACATGACCATCACAGAGCCTCTATGAGTTTGAGCTAGGTCCTCTGCATATACCTTATTGTTGTGTAGTTTGTTCTTGTGGAACTCCCACCACTGGGAGTCAGGGGTGTCTCTGACTCTTTTGCCTGCTCTTGGGACCTGTTTCATTCTATTGGATTGTCTCGTCCAGCCTTGATATGAGGATCTGTGCCATGTCTTAGTGTAATTTGTTAAGCAGTGTTCAGTTGATATCCCTGCAAGGCCTGCTCTTCTCTGAAGGGAAATGGAGGACCAGTGGACCTGGAGGAAAGAGGAGGTAGAAAGCTGGGAGGAGTAGAGAGAGGGATGTGATGTATGAGAGAAGAATTTAAAAAAAAAAAAAACCAACACAAAAACAAAAAGGAAGAGATGACTTTGGATCAACTCTGTCTGTTGTCCTTTGACTGTTGAGCAAAAGGAATACCTGGAGCTGAATACTTAACAAATGAAAGATGATTATTGACCTCACAGCTCTGGTGTGTGGATGGGCATGGCCCCAATTCCTGCTGTGCTGTGGGAAAGGTTACAAGGTTACATGGTTACATGGCAGCATGGCAGATGCCATCCCAAGGGCAGCATGACCAAGAGGGGGAGATCACATGACAATATCCAAAGCCCTGAAGAATTAGGGGCCTCCCTTTTACAAGAATTCACACTTACTCTGAGATCAGCATTAACCCCTTGTGTAGGTGATGTCGCCCTGATGGAATTACAGAACGTTCAGCCCCTCTCTGACTGGTCACTACTTATTACCTTCACCACATGAAAGGTCAAGCACATGCAGCTCTGGGAGACACACTCAATGCACATGCAAAGCAAACCACTGCTTTCCCCTCCTCTCACCTTCAGCTGTATGAGCTGTACCTGCACCATGGACCTGTTACTCATTTGTTTCATCATGAAAAGCCTCTGTTCTTGCCTTAGAGAAGGGTGCTGGGTGCTAGCACTTGTGTACACAGAGGAAAAAAAAAAAAACAAATCCTGCAGTCCTACAATACAAACCATTACCATGCTGCCCAGCCTTTAACTGAGCCCTGTACTATACCAGATGCCCTGGTTCATGTTCTCCAGGACTCTTCAGAACAAACTGATTTTTCATTGTTATCTACACTGAACGAACTTCTTTAGAGTGGGATCTCTGACAAATCAATTGTAGCTCCACCTGATCTCTTCCTCAAATCAGTTCAAATACTTTATGCATTTATGTCCCCCCCTCTTCCCCTAATTGCTACTGTGCAGGTATTCCTCATTCCCATTTTACTCACTAGTACAGGCAATCTTAGGGACGAATGTGCCTTCAAAGTGTCATTTCGTTCAGTCAGCTAAGAATTTAAAAGGAAAAGTTTGCCAGAGTCATTCTTTTTCACATTGGTTTTTTGAGACAAGGTCTCTCTATTTATGTAGCTCTTGCTGTCCTGGAACTTTCTATGTATATCAGGCTAGCCTTGAACTCACATAGACCCACCCACCTCTGCCTTCCAAAGTGTTGGGATTAAAGGTATGTGCCCCTATGCCAAACCTTAGTGTCATTCTTTTTTTTTACCATCTTTATGGTGCAGGTTGAACATGTCTAAGATTTTATGTCATCTGAGCTCCATGAATTTGAGCAAAGCTTGCCCTCAGACTTACCTCTGATACTATGTTCTTGAGCAGTGGCCTTAAAATGAGTATGTTCAGAAATGTGTTTGCCCACAAAATGCTCTACTTTCTTTTATGAATATGTATGGAACTCCCAGTAGAATCCCAATGCTTACTTTGCATGAGAAGATTGCTTTGAAAATAACTCTATACCTGCTGCAGGCCATAACTCTTTCTCCACATTTTTATTTCTTGAAATTACTTTCTTGCTTCATGCTTACCAACATTAGAAGCCACCTTATTTGGTAACAAAAGATTATCTGGCTTACCCAAAAATCGTCACATGTTTTGACCTTCATTCCCTTTGCACCTTATGGTAATTCCCTCTAGATTTGTGTTCTTTGAAAGAATACTTCCAACAAAAGTTCTCAGTAGAGGTTTTTTAACTTAACTTCTTCAAGGTCTGAGAATTTCTTGATCTGATGCAAGTCTACAAGTCTCTTATAGATTACCTCTAACTAGAAGGAACTCCAAAACATTGAATGTTTTTAAAGATTTAATTAATTAATTAATTAATTAATTAATTAATTATGTAAGCTGTTCTGTCTCCATGTTTGCCTGTATGGCAGAAGAGGGCATGAGGTTGTGTGCTACCATGCAGCTGCTGGAAGTTGAACTCATGACCTTTGGAAGAGCAGTCAATGCACTTCATCTCGGAGCCATCTATCCAGCCCTATAAAATGTATAATGTTTTATATGGCTGTTATTTGATGAAACTGGCCTTAGTTCTAATTCCAGCTAATTTGATGCTAACGGTTTTTGCAAAACATATTATTAATACAAATGTTGCTATTAAGATGACATGAATTAGGTAATGACATAATTGAGGTTCTCCATTTATGTCTTTCTCGTTGCTACATCAAGGATCATCACATCTCACATCTTATAGGACAGACCAAAGGTTTGTTTTCCTCCACTGTCTGTTTAGGTCTGTAACAGTATCAATATCACTGATTAACTAAGTTCACTAGTTCAGAATAAGTACTTCAAACTCCAGCTATCCTCGATACACATGAAAAAAATAACCAATTTCTGAAGAATTTGAAAAATAGGTGCTTACTGTTAAAGCAAGCAGTTTCCCATAGGTGAGATGAGCAGGGATGTGGTCAGTCTTGGATCTCAATGATTCCATGTACCAGTGCTCAGCTTCAGGAAGTTTACTTAGTCGCATGTATGCTTCACCTGGAGAGAGAATCATTAATGTCACATGGATGATGCAATTTCTCATGTGTCAGTGCACACACGGATAATGACAGGCAACATTTCAGAAATCCAGAAGAGCTTGGAATGTCGCCAGGAAGGAACCATACATCATAAAGGAGACATATCTGACATGATTTAAACAGCATGCAATGTATATATGGACTAAAACATCATAGGTTACACTAGAGAGATGGACCAGTGTCATCCAGAGAGATGGACCAGTGTCTGCCAGAGAGATGGACCAGTGTCTGCCAGAGAGATGGATCAGTGTCTGCCAGAGAGATAGACCAGTGTCACCCAGAGAGATGGATCAGTGTCACTCAGACTATCAAGAGCATGCAAGCTCAGTTCCCCAGTACCCATGTATCCAAAGCCAGGTGTGGCAGTGGGAGCCTGTAACTTGAAGCTCATTAGATAATCACCCTAGGTGAATTATAGATCTTCAGGTTCCATGAAGGCCTATCTTGAAAAATAAGAGCAGAGTCGTGTTGAGTTGACGCAACTGATAAACTTGTTACGAAGAGTAACAACCTGAGCTTGATCCCTGATTCATATGGAGGAAGGAAGGAACTGATTATCACAAGCTGTCCTCCGACCTCCATATGCTCACTAAAATAACTGCAAAAAAGAAAAAGAAAAGAAAAAGGGCATTATGTAGTATGGAATTGGTTTTAAACATGGAATTCCCAAAGATTTATTTTTCAATGATAACTGATTTCGTTATGCATTTCAATCAGTTATTTTTTTATTTAGATTCAATTATTCTTTTTAAATCTATTTAGATAATAACTAAATGGACAGCCTTGCATAAGGCTACAGGAAGGAGGATATGATTCTAGCCTCTAAAGTCTTCCAGCTATGTAGAAGAAGTAAGAGTAAATGAAATAGTTTAAATATTTTTGAATTAAACATTGCTGCTAGGCCAGGTACAATCTTATAATCTTAGCATTGAGGAGGCTGAGATAGGAGGATTACAGATTACAGGTTATCCTGGACTACAGCAGGAGTTTCTCTTAAACTCTATGTGGCTATATTTTAATTTTCTTCAGCATTTTCAATGTTCAAAAAGATAAATGAAATTTAGCAGGGTCATTTGGAAAATCAATTAAAAGATGACGATTAACAAGTGAGGCCAGTTCTTACACACACAAAACAAATCTAAGTCCTTTCAGCCATTAATTTTTATTTTTCAGCTACTAAAAGTACTAACTAACAACCAAGCAGGAAGGGGAAAAAAGGAGAAATAAATCCAAAAGTATACTAAGTGGTTTTCTTATTATCATTCCTATCTCCTTTATGCTGGAGTATAAAAGAAAACTCAATAAGTAGAAAAATTACACTTGAAGATAACTTATATAATTAAGTTAAATAATATAACTTTAATAGTATTGGCAAATGTGGGTAGACGCTGTCCAGTTTCAGAGAACAGGCCAGACTAGACACTTCTTTTATTACCAAGCAGACTTTTATGACTAGCCGTAATCATAATGGTATTTCCATTTAGAAGTACTATGAGTGGCTGTCCTAACATGATACCCACATTGGTTATGTATCTTTAATTCAAAAAACAAGCAAACAAACAAACATATTCTTTCCTTTTTTTGTTGTTATTTGGGTTTTTTTTGTTTTTGTTTTGTTTTGTTTTTGCACACAACTATCATGACAAATAGGTCTCATGAACTGAATTGGCTCTTGACCTTTGAATGCCCTTTAGGTGGTTGGTTAGTAAAAAGTACTGGTGTCAAACAATAGGCAAAATTCAAAACCTGCATGTCTCTACCCAAACCTATCATTTGTTTCCAGTTTTAACAACAGTCCTTAAACTCAACTCTCATGAAAGTGATAATTTGTAAATGTTTGAGGTTTTGAACCATGAAATTTTAACATGCTGACATTTGAGATTGACTGGATTAAGCCATGTGATAAGGGTAAGATGCCAGAAACAGTGATATCCACACCAGAGCCTAGAGTAGAAGGTGGGTGTAGGAACATTTTCAGTAGCAGTGGCAGGATATAAATGAATGCTGTCCAGTGTCTCAAGATTCTGAAATAATTACCTGTTTTTTGTTTGTTTGTTTGTTTTTTGTTTTTCGAGACAGGGTTTCTCTGTGTAGCCTTTCCTGGAACTCACCTGGTAGCCCAGGGTGGCCTCGAACTCACAGAGATCCACCTGCCTCTGCCTCCTGAGTGCTGGGATTAAAGGTGTGGGCCACCACCGCCCAGCTCTTGTTTTTATTTTTATTTATTTATTTTCTTAAGCTTGAGAAAGGCTTTCTCTAGGTATCCCAGTCCAGACTGGAAGGTGTGTTCTGCTAGCTCTGTCCTCCAAAGGGCTGGGATTGCAGGTGTGTGCCATCAAGCCTGGCAATATGATTCTTGATTTTATTTTAACAGACCTACAAAAATTGACAGTTTCAGACAGAGTTTTATTTTTTTTCCTGCTATTTTTTTATCCCTTTTCCTTATCATGTATGCTTACTTCTAAATAAAATAAGTGATAATTTTTTTTCTTTGATTAATGAACCACATCTTCCAGTGGGGAAAGATATTAGACATGATTTATATAACAAGCATAATACAGAGTTTTGAAAAATTGGATGCAATTAATGATAAAGTATGTCTGAACATGTATCTGTAAAAATGAATTATAAAACCGAAAGGGAGATGGGCTTACATTTTCAATTGACCTGAAATTCTGCTTCAGCTCTTCATATTTTTCATGTCAGTACTTGAAAGCTATACAACCACTACATTTATTTATTAAAATTTTACTTTTAGGGAAAGTAAGTCTTACAGAAAAGTATTAAAGATTCCCTGGTCCTGGGTGTTTTGAGATTTAAATCATATAAATTACATTTAACTTGTTCCCATGTAAAAATAGAAACTCAGAAAATGTTACATGTTATTTCCCTATCAGAAATAATAGCAAAACATATTTTGAAATAAGATACTGATTTGGTAAGCATGAATAATTAGTATCACTGCCTGGAGAGCCAGCCTCCAACAACACAGGGCTTGAAGGGAAATCCACAGATTTGGCACATACTAGACTTTTGTTATCTGCAGGAATTAGGGAAAAAGACACTAATACACTCTCTTAATGATTTCCTTCAGACCTCTCCTTTCTCTCTCTCTTTCTCTCTTTCTCTCTTTCTCTCTTTCTCTCTCTCTCTCTTCCTCTCTTCCTCTCTTCCTCTCTTCCTCCCTTCCTCCCTTCCTCCCTTCCTCCCTTTCTCCCTTTCTCTCTTTCTCTCTCTCTCTCTCTTTCTTTCTTTCTTTCTTTCTTTCTTTCTTTCTTTCTTTCTTTCTTTCTTTCTTTCTTTCTTCCTATCTCTATTCTTTATTTTCCTAGTGATTTCCTTCTCTCATTGATGTTTTCCTTCTAATTCTATCTTGATTCTTAATGTTTCCATTCTAGTTCTTTCTAATTCTCTCATTCTTGATTTTTTTCCTTCTAACTCTCTCGTTCCTGATGTTTTTTTCTTCTAACCCATTTTAACTCTTTCATTCTTGTTGTTTTTCTTCCAACACTCATTCTTGAGTTTTCCTTCTATCCCATTTTACCTCTATCTCCATACTTTCCCTTACAGCTAATATACCCCAGCAAAATCTTTCAGGCAATATAAAAATTACAATGTAGTTACATTCTGTTTTTCAAGTGAATGATTACAACGAATATAAAACAAACAGTAAAAAGTAGCATGTTTTCCATAACCCTTACATGATTACACATTTAATATGTTACAGGTAAAAACCAAATCATCCCAAGAACCCACGAACATTCACACCCAAGCAACTTGTTATAGTTTAACTATGTAAGCAAGCAAGATATTCTTCTCAGCCAGGTCTTATACTAGCAGGCCACAGTTTTGCAGTTACAAAGAAAGGGCCAATTGCTTTATTACTTATCTTAAAAAGTAATCTTATAAGGAATCTTAAAGGAATTTCAAAGCTAAACTTCTATATGAAAAAGAATCAGTCAGCTCTACTTTAAATCTTTGGGTTGCATAACTACTCAATTGTTTCTTATATCAGGAGATTAAGAGCAAAAATAGACACAAGGAATTAATCATCCCTTTTGATCACCAACCAAACCTAACAAGGAAAATGGGTCAACTAGCAACAACTGGGCTGCTTTGTATTTTTTTTACCCTAATCTGATGAATCTATAACTCAGCTATGTTTCCTTGTGAAGTTTAGAATGTTTTCTGATCTCAAAGATATTATCAAAACATCCGATCTAATCCAAAGTTATTTTAAGGCTTTGTTTCAGGTAATGATGCACCACAAAACCTGTGACTGCATGGTTCAGCATTAAGAGAACTAGAGCCAGCCGCCTCGTGGGAACTAATTGTTTTCCTTACTCCTTAACCTAAACTGTGATCTATGCAGCTCCTTAGGTGAAACTCATGGGCCCTAGCTGTGTGACATTTCCTTGCATTTATTTTTATTTATCAAGACTCTGTATAAGCTATCATTATTATCATCAATTAGGCAATACAGCGTAGGGAGGAATCATCTTCATGGCAATCCACAGATAAAAATGCCCAGTAGAACAGGATGTTTCCATGAGATAAACATAACTACATCACAGGCAATAGGGATCTCTCTACACCCATTCACACCATACCAGATACAAGAGAAAGATAACAGCAGCAAACACATAAAGGCACAGTAGAAGCAAAAGACATTCTGGGATTGTGGTGATATTGTTTGTGATCTAAGAAAAAAAAAGCTTGCCTGAAGATCAGTGTGGAGCTAAGCCACAAGTTGGCCCATAGAGGCAAGGCACACACTTTTAATCCCAGCTCTCAGGAGTCAGAGGCAGACTGATCTCTGTGAGTTCAAGGCCACCTTGGGTTACACAAGATTGATGGAGTCTAAAAGAGAAACAGAGTCAGGCAGTGGTAGCATGTCCCTTTGAGCTCAGCACTTGGGATCTCATGCCTTTAATCTCAGCACTAGGGAGGTAGAGACAG